ACGCCAAAATGAATGGGAGTCAATGGGATGCTAACAGCAGGTGATAGCCAGCTACAATGGCGGCCCCCGGAGGCAGCTTCAACTTCCGGCTGATGGATTACCCCCTTGGTTGGAAAGCTCTCTCTCTCCTCTTCAATGCTGTCGGATCCAAATATGGTCATTTCCTGTTTTATCAGCAACCAATCATGAAAGTAAAATGGGCCATTTAACTCGAAATGCGCAATCTTATTGGCTGATGCCAATTTCTGACAACGTGATTCGTTCAGAATCGTCACGTGACGCGCTCTGACATTTCCGCGGTAGTTCATAATGTTGAAAGATATGCGTTCATTTAGCCTACTATTTGTATTTATAAGTGATTCTTTCTTAAACGTCAGGTTTAAAGTTTGTTGTCATACCTTGACAGTTTCGACTGCTGACTCTGCAGTCATCTTCAGAAGCGTAACGTGATGTTTCTGTGACGTCTACTATAGGTGTGATATATTTAGTTTTTGTCATTCCACCTGTGTGATGGACTGTTGATGTGTTGTTTTGGATGTTATGATCAGTGATGGATGAAGCAGTAATGAGTTTTGGATGTTAAACAGTGTGATACATGGATGTAATTCATGGCTTTTAATAGAAATTAGTGGAATTTTGCCATAAAAATCTTTAAAGGCCGTTTTCTCAAAATGAGTTTTTTCTCACACTCCTAGTGACGATTTTCCACTTCTGTAGCACCTACACACACCAAACTTTACAGTCGTATTCCTAACTATTTTGTGAAGGTTTGTTTAGAGGGATTTGTTGATATATCATTCTGGGCCTGATTTATATGACATTTTATGCCTAAAATTAGGGCGGAAATCAATTTAATAAGGCTATTGGCAGTATTTTCTGATTTACAGGGTAACAAAAGGAGATATTCATAATCCCCTCTGAAAATGTCTTTTCATTCAATATATCAACAAAATACAAAAATAATTTTGAACCTTGCTTTTTTCAATGGTCAGATTCGTCACTTCAAAATATATGCAAATTAGCACATATTTAATTAGATGTAGCCTGATTAGCATATTTAAACATAAAATTACAGAAAACTTTCACTACATTTTTTTCTCCAATTCATGCGAGTAATCAACTGGTACAGTTTCATGGTGATATCTGTAAGTTAAAATTGTTTACCCTATTCACCTGCAGTGTCCCGCCTTACATTTCTAATAATTAATACATTTGTGAATTTCTGTCATGATGGTTCTTTTCCATAGCTCGTAATGAACGGAATATAATTTAAATGATATTTTATTCATATGTCATGCTATGTCCTCTGTACTGGACACCAGGGTCAGCACCAGGAAAATGAAATGAAATTATATGGCAAAAACAATGGGATTTTTTTCGTTCACCAATCAATTTTTGGGGTTTTAACCAACATTTGTATAAAGATGATTCTTAACTATGTTATGAAAGATTTAACGGAATGAATTGATACACAATTTTACTTTATGCAATATGTGGGGAAAATGATGAATATTCCCATTCAATATATACAGTATCTAATTTGCATATCAATGTTTCTTGGGGTAAGATTTAATGAAAAAAAATAAGTATAATAATGGGAGTAATAATTGGCACTATTTGAATAATAATATCTAATATGTCATAGGAATATTGATGTATAATATCTTTCCCTATTCAGTTGTTGTGTCTCCCAGAATGCCTGATGAACATGATAGTGTCTCTACAGTGGACATGTACGACATTAATGCCCTGTTCTGTAACAGAAAGTCATCTTTTGATTTGAAACCCCATAACATTTTCCTGAGATGTTGGTTTATGAAATACAATTTGAAAAGTAGTCCGATTTAAATTATAATTACAACATTATCATATTTCCAAAAGAGTGCAACATTTGATCACCAAGTCATTTTTAAAGAGCAAGGAGGAGTTGTTTTCATGGTGAAACCCCCAAACATGTGGCATGCTCTTCACAGGACACCCGGACTTTAAAATCTGGTGACTTGGATGGTGTCAGAGAAATTCACTAAAATATAATAATTCACAGAATTCTGGGTCCCAGGAGGATATGGTTCAATGTTGTTGTAGCAAACAATTGTGTTTAACAGTTTTCCACTTATTTACTGAAGAATCCTGTGAGTTTAAGCTTGTTTTTATCCAAAACCCAAACACCAAAGGCAGTGCTTTTTTGTAGAATTTTATTTTTGAAATTATTTTATAAAATCATCGCTTTAATTAATTTATATAATTATAGGATTATACTTTTACTGACACACCCAGCCACTTCGCCCCACCACGCCAGAGAGAGATCTGACGAACGCTTGATGAACAGCAGGAAACCGAGGAGCAGTCTCTCTCTCTCTGTGTGTGTGTGTGTGTGTGTGTGTGTCAGGGTCAATTCACTCATCATCAGTTCATCTCCAGTGAAATAACCACACAAACAGATAAACAGGTCAGGATGACGTGTGTGAGAGAATGTCATCCATCCCTCAAGGTTAAAACACACTTAAATGGCTCAGTTACTGTGCAGATTAGCAGTAAAGGTATGGGTCTACCTTCACAGCCTGTGGGTGTTTGGCACATAGCAGTTTTGACTGGTTAATCATGCTGTCATTTGGGTGGAAAATCCAATCACATTATTCTTGGCTGCTGCATTGTACTGGAAACAACTGCAGAATTTTAAGGAGGAAGCAGTTTTGTTCAACAGAGAGACAACGGCTAGAGGACGAGCCACATCCACTAACACTCACTTCACTAAATCAAAAACACATATTGAAGTTACTTTGTCAGAACACGCCGTCTTCATGTCTTGTGCTAGATTCTGTTTCCCTGATGAGTTTTTTTTTTTGGCCCTCGCTTTACGCTGCGTACAGACATTAAGCATCGAGTCCTGCATTGTGTGCAGCCTTCAGGTTACCTAAGGCAGCGAGGAGAGCAGGCTGAAAGGTCTCTGAAATTAAAGATATATATCCAGAATGATATACTGACTCTGTTGTGTTCGTACAGGCAGGAAAAAATAAAAATAAAAATTATATATATATATATATATACACACATACACTGCCCGGCCAAAAAATAAATACAAAATATTCCCTGTTTGGATTTAAAAAAGCCAAATGCTTAAGAGTCTTTGACTGGATAATTATTGCAGTGATTATTATGTTTCTATCATGTTGTATGTTTGGCAAAAGTTATTCCAACCTTAATTGATGGAGTGAGTAGCTTTTCATTTCTAAAAACAATGGCCATATTGATGGAATAACATCACAACATGTATTTCCCTCAAGAGGTGCATCAAATTTTAGTCAAGATCTTGTATTGTCAATGCAAGAGTCCAGCACTGTGTGAAGTCTCCTCCAGCACAACCCAAAGACTGGCAATGAGTTTAAAGGAGAACTCCGGCGCAAAATGAACCTTTGGTCTAATTACACATTGTTACCTAGTCAACCGTTATCTGAGATTTGTTTTCATGATTATCGAATGTAAATAGTTTTATCTCTAAAAACAGTTTAGCCTATAAAGCTAGTATAACGGTACAGACAGTTTAATAAGAAGATATTTTAAACATACAGTCAACTTCGTGTATACAGGCAGAAGCCATCTTTGAAAAACAGTCTCTACCAGTCGATCTACGAACGCCGATCCAAGTGCGCTGGTGAGATGTGAACGAGCTATAAGTTGTGATAAGGTGAGTGCGAACAGCAGGCTTGGATCGGCGTTCGTAGATCGACTGGGAGAGACTGTTTTTCAAAGATGGATTCTGCCTGTATACGCGAAGTTGACTGTATGTTTAAAATATCTTCTTATTAAACTGTCTGGACACTGACAAAGTTCTCATGCTTCGGTTTGAAGGTAGGGACCCTCATTATGCTACCGTGATAGTGTGGGGCTATTTTCAGCCTTGTTAGTGGTATTAACAAGCGATTTTTATTTGTCATTACACTGTGCCCAATATACTAGCGTTATATTAGCTTTATAGGCTAAACTGTTTTTAGAGATAAAACTATTTACATTCGATAATCATGAAAACAAATCTCAGATAACGGTTGACTAGGTAACAATGTGTAATTAGACCAAAGGTTCATTTTGCGCCGGAGTTCTCCTTTAAGGTCTGGACTCAGAGGAGCCGATTCATTTGTGTAAATTAATCTTCATGCTCCTCATAACCATTCGAACACAGTTTGAGCCTGATCAATCTTCACATTGTCATCCTGGAATATGGCCATATTCCTACATGGCTGTTTAAGAAATGAAAAGCGACACTCTGTCAATTAGCATACAACATTATAATCACTGCAATGATGATTAAATCATAGACTCTTAAGCATTTGCCTATTTAAATCCAAACAGCAACTTTGTTTGTGGGCAGCCGGTGTGTGTACATACACACACATATATATAAATATATATATATAAATAATTCTAATTAGTGTTCAATCATGGAATAATATAAATCAGGCCAACTTTCGAAAATTGTGCAAATACAATGACTAAAAAATTCTTATTAGGGTGAATTTCACAAAAACATGTCCAAGTCATATTTTACTCCAGAATAAAAACGAAACAACAAAAGAAAAAGAAATAGTATTCTGCATAAAGAAAATGAAGCCTATGCTGGCCCATTTCTTTGTGGCATTTTTTAAGTACAAATCCCCCCCTAAAATACACTTCTAATTCTCATAACCGTGACCATAATTCTCAACCATAAGTGAAAACAACACTTGTAAAGTACTACTGTACGAATGCGGTAGTATTTCTTGTACTGAGTTCAGAAAAAAATCATTCTAGACCAAAAAAGGATGTTTTCCAATGCTGTATTTTTTCAGTGCAATAATGAGAATCTTATTTTCTCGAAGCGTAATATAATGTCTTATTTGGATTTTGGGGTGAAATATGACCCATACAATCCTTTGTGACATTCACCCAGTAGTAACACTTTAGTTTGGCATGGTATGTGTACACACCATCATAAATTTCATGTACAATGAATTAACAAAAATAACTCAAACTTTAAACCGTTTCTAATGACAGTCAGTGTAGCAAAATATTAAATTATTCTCCATTTCGAATTAATTAAAAACTTAACAGGTTACAATAATGTGAAGGAAACCTGGACAGAGGAAAACATATATACACAGACATAATCATACAGTATGTGCGTGAACTTTGCCAAGAAGAGATTCATGGTTCTTGCAAAACATGTTGAAGCCAGGAGTGCCCTCTCCTGGTTTTACTTTCAACAGCAGCATTTTTGCACAGCGTAGGCTGACTTCTTAGGGGTAAACCCACAAGGCATTTCCTGTCAGAGGACTCAATATAGGGACTTAACAGCGACTAGAAGTTCTGATACAAATTCACAACTTAAACCCCATTCAACTGGAAAAGTCTTACATAGATCTATAGTTTCACAATTCAAAATATATACTATTTACGTCCAGTGTAACATTTTTTTTTTTTCATTTGTTCAAGTTTGAGAAGTTCCAACTTACTCGATTCAATTCCAGGGTGAAGTCTCTGCTAAACTTTCACAGTTCACGCTGCATGGTTATTTTAAAGTTAACAAACATTGATACTGAATGGATTTCTCTGGTTAAACACCTTTTTTTTTTTTTTGTCCTTGATAAAGTAGAGCTACTGAGGGACGAGAAATGCACTGCAACATCACATGACCAAAACAAGTGCCAACTGAGAGAGGAAGCAGGAAACGTTAAATAAACAAATCAAGGGTGAAAAAAGCAGAGATAAAAGGAGCAATAGAGGTGTAGTGCAAAACTGAAGCGCGGCTGTGTTCCTGGTCTATCGATACACGAGGTGGGATATGGTGCTGGATTTGAAATTGAGCTGATGATTGGGCACAAAGTTATGATGAGGATTTTTGCGGGTGCACACATCACTGCCGTAAAGGCTCATGCACATGTCACATGACACCTTGGAGCAGTTCACACAGGTGTGGGAGGCCCCGGGCTTGTTGCAAAAGCCACAGCGGGAGCCGCCCAAACTCATGCGCTCCCCCCCGACGCTGCTGCCGCCACTGTTGACGGAGCTGACCACCGATCCCACGGGTTTACTGGGAAACAGCTTGCCGCTCATCACAGCTTTGTCCAGCAACAGCGAGTGGGACTGAGCGTGGGGGAGTGGGTGAGGGTGCGTGTGGGAGTGGGCGTTGGAGTAGACGGACAACTTCTCCTTGATGGGCATGTATCCGTCCAGAGGGCGGGAAGTTTTAGTGAAATCCTGGAAGCCGCAACAAGGCGTCGGTTCCACCGCATGGCAGGACGAACACAAGATCATGTCGCACCGCTGGCAGGAGGAGAGCGAAGGGCAGCCCATCCCGCAGCCCTGGCACTTCATCATGTGCCCCTTCAGAACCCAACCGTCCCGGGCTTCTCGCGGCTCCCGGCTCGGCGGTCTGGAGGGCGTCTGGAGGCCACCCAAACCCCGCTCAGTGTACAAGTCCACCTCATCCAGGGAGGACAAGTGGTAGGAGTATGGCTCGGGCGGGGGCGACTGGATGGGAAAGAAGTCCGCCACTGGGCTGTACGAGGGCGCAGCTGCCACGGGGTAAAGCGAGGGACTCGGTCGGAGGATTTCATCCTTCATGTCTTCCTCCGTGTCGACGAATAGCGGCTCTTTGCGGAGGCTGAGCGAAGCCTTTAACACGGGCTTGCTGGCTTGGTGCCAGTGTCCTGCGCTGTCCGTTACATCCACTGATTTGGAGGGTCGACCGCTTCGCCTAAGATGGGCACGGTCGATATCCACGGGCCGCACCGACAGGCGGGACAAGTCCCCGGTGAGGCTGTCCCGTCGGCGGAGGGCGTCAGCACACCCTGCTGCATCTTCTCTGGTGTTCCTCCTCACATCCACGGCCTCCAGCTCCGAGGCGAAGCCCCGAGACATGGACACCACCTCGCTGAGCAACCGGCATTCAGCCTGGGCAAGAAGCAGCTCAAAGGAAAGCTGCCGAAGGTGGGAGGCTCCGCCCGGATGGTCCCGGACGTGGTACTGCAATTCTTGGTCTCTTGAATAGCCCATGGAGCGCAGAAGTGAACGCAGGTCCGCGTCGCATATCACCGACTGCAACTGGTACACGTATGGCCCTGTGAAGGTCTGTAAGTGTGAAAGAAAAGTCATTAAACGGTCAAAAGCAAAGGGAATTATGACATTCACACTGTCTGATATCTTTCACATTCACAACCAAGAAAATGTAAGGTAAGGTATTAATAAAAGGCTCAATAGTAACAACCCCAAAATGCACTGAATCTACAACCTTAGCTCCTCACAGAACTCGTTTCCTGATATATCGTAGTTCACCCAAAAAGAAACATCTTTCCTTTTGTGCTCCACAGGAGTCAAGAACTGCAAAATGTGATATTTTTGGCCTTTTTTTGAGAATCCTTCAATCTCTCGACTCACCTTAATGCAACGGAACTCCTTCTTCCACGGAAAGAGCAACAAGTTGGTACAGATGGTTTCCAGCGTCGCAAAGGCTGTCTCCAATGTCCGCAAGTTTGCGCCTCTCTGAGTTCTCAGTGAGTTCTCCGCTACGTCGTAGAACCGAACCATGCGAAAGCGCTGCCCGGGATCAGGCTGGTATGAGCCTAGCAGTGCCGTTGCAGTGGAAATCAGTGCTTCCTCAGTCTTAGCCCCCGGCTTATCTCCTCCTCCGTCACCGGTTCCCTCCTCGAGCCGGTTCTCCAGAGATGCCACATACCTGCGGAACAGATCTTCTCGCAACTTGGCATCCATTGGTGGCAGTGGGCTGCGTAGCTGGCAACCGCTTATCCCACAATCCAGGTGTTTCTTTAAATGGGACCCCTTGCCATCTCAAGGCCTCTCTCCCACTGGACACCGGAAGACCTGGGACAACGGTGCAGTATAGTGGGGAAAATCAGCAAGTTGCGATCATCCTCCAAAGGAGTGATATGGAATAATGAAAGTGAAGAGGTGTGCGGTTTAATTTGGGCGTACACCTTGCCCAGGGCTCTTTCCTGCAGTTATAGGCATCTCTGGGTGCCTCATGAGCCAAAACACCTCAAAAGAAGCAACATGACATGAGAAGGTGGTTGTACTGGGAGCTGAATGGAGACTCCTCACCTTTTTAAGCCCTCACGGTCAGGTTTTCCCCTGCAGTAGGTTGAAGGTCAGGGCTTGCAGAGAGGAGAATACGTTAAAAACACCATGTCCAATGCTGCAATGAGAGAAGAACAAATCTGTTTGAATAACACCACTCTGTGTAATAAGCGGAGGCTTGCCTCAGTCTATTGACCTGCAATCACAGAGCTAGTTAATAATGCATGCATCACAGAAAGACCAAAGCAGACCATGAGAATGAACATTATATATTTGTGATGTGGTCTAAATTATAGTAGGCGGTTTTTAAAAATGTTCTGAGCTTTTGTGAATGGAAATGTGTGTAATTATGTGGAATGAATTTAAATATGGGTTAGCCTAAACGGAGTAAAATGTTTGAAAGTTAGCATGGGCAGTTAGCTCCTGCTAGTAGATGCCATAACAACACCGTTTTAGGTACAAAAATAATCCTCCTCCTCTTAAAGACATTAAAATGTAGTCATGTATTTGTTTGTTTTTTTGCAGGCAACATATACACTACAAATATTTCATTATAAAAATGATACTGTTTTTTGAACGGCATTTAAAAAAAATGGATTAACGCAAAATGGACTAAACTTTTGCCTTTGATATATCAGCTCATGTAACCAACAGAACCAGCAGTGAAGGGTTTCGGACTGTGGTTCCATCAGCCAATCAGCATTTACTGCTCAGGTGACTGACTCATAAACGCCCGTCACGTGTCCAAGGATAGCAGCATGCAGAATACTTCCTGAGTTTATTGGGAATCTGAGATGAATGGGAATTCAAATGGATAGCTTTCTCCAGGTAATATATAGATGCTGATATCATCAGCAAATTAGATTAAAAAAAATTACAAACAAACTGGTAAGAACAGGGGACAATTTTTGAATTGTCAATCTTGTGAATGACAGGAATTTGGAACTTTCCACAAAGCTTTGTGTATATAATACAGGAGCTCAAAACGACTATGTTTCTAGTAATGAATTTGGACTGTGTACAATAAGGCCACACAAACCACTTCGCTCCTCACTGGTTAGGCTGCCAACTGAATACTCACACAGTATTCCCAGCATTTACCTTCATTGAAAACTGATGAGGCTGTCATTCAAGCTACCAAATACATACTCTTAACACTAAGTTATCTATCTATCTATCTATCTATCTATCTATCTATCTATCTATCTATCTATCATTATTATTGTCATCACCACCATCAGGATATCATCCTATCATAATCACAACATCATACTGAACATAGAGAATGTGAAAAAAAAAAATCCACCTAAACAAACCAGGGTTTACAGAGAACAGTGAAGTATTAACAAATGAGTATTTCTGCCATTGCTGCAGTGATAAACAGTGACGTGTGTTAGCAACACAGCTAATATGAGTCTCGTTTACTTAGTAAACAAATCTGTCAAAGCACCGGACAGTTCGATCTGATCTCTGAACAAGTGTTTATTACAGGAATAGACATTAATATTGTCGTTACTCTACTCTTAGCTCGTTTCTATGGCTGATATCAGATGCAGTTAGCACACCACTGCTAACATTAGCGCAGTTGCAGGGCCCTGTAAACCCACACACCACACAATTTAACCACACACCATCCTTCATGTACTTTTTAATTACCTCAATATGAACAAGACGTGAATGTAAACATGCCCGGTGAGGGTCGTGCGGTGCTGGGCACCATTAATGAGCCGCCCTCCTCCCCATCATCCAGCGCCTCTTACCTATCATCCAGCGCCTCTTACCTTCATGTTCCGCTGGAAATCCCCATCGCCACACTGCGCATGCGCCACACTGCCTCCTCTGCGCGCTCCCGAGGCTGCATGCTGCAGATAGGACTAGCGTTGGAATCTCCGATTCATTCAGCGAGTCGGTTCGGCTACATGATTCTATTCATTGAAGTCATCGCTCAAAATCCCAGAAGTCCATGCGCTGCATTCATAGTCTTTGTTTTTTTGTTGTTGTACGTTAACAATGTTTGCTCAAACACCGAGTCATTTTCAGTTAGCGTAGGATTGTAATTGTACAAATATTTAGTGACGACGTATGTGTTCCTGTCATTCCAGTTGGGACATTTTTCTGTCAAATGTTACGTTGTTTACGTTTTTCACTCATCAGTTTCACTCTAAAAAGTTTCAACCATAGGCGTAGACATAATAAATTCGTATGTATTATTGTCTATGGCTTCAATTAACGTTACCTCGCGTAGAAATTCATGATTTTCATATTCACGCTTTCCGAATCAATTAAAAGAACCGGTTCAAGTGATTCGTTTATGAATCGGATACCACAAGCAGCAATATCACGCTCATAACTCGTGATTAAAAGACGACACACGCACACACTACATTATGTACCATCTTTCACTCATTTGGGTAACCTCTGCGGCTTTTTGTCATTAGTCAAACAGGTCTGTATTAATGTAATTTCTCATGCGTGTGCATGAGATCAGCTGAGTTTGTGCTCCTCCCACCCGACAGTGAATCTCACCGGACTGGAGTTCAAGAACACGGAAACAGCGCAGCAGACATGGCAATGCTCAAAACAGTCACTCAAACTGATGTGAACGATGCTGAAGATAATGAATTCATATGTCCTGTGTGTTTGGAGATATTTATCTGTCCGATGACCACACAGTGCGGACATACGTGAGTATCCATGAGGTCTAGTGCCTTACCGCAGTAACTTCTCGATTGACATGTGTAACTAATGTTCATTTCGTTATCACGTGAAACCGACGCACAGCTTTCATGTCATGTAGTTTAAACTTAATATGATTGTGCCCAATTATGATCAATACATGTAGTTGTGATATGAGTTTCCCAGAAGACAGAAATTGGTTACTTTCAGTTTTGCTTCTTGTGTAGAAAACTTTGCAGTGTGGGATTGTGGGACTTGTAGTGCTAGCTTAATTATGCTTTGATCAAACTACAACACCCACAGTGACCTATGAAACGGGGTCTTTTTCATTTTGATGAGGTTTAAAAAAAAAAATTAAGGGTCATACATTACTGACAATCATAACAAAACACCAGTAAAAGCGCTAAAAAGAGGAATACTTTGTTAAAATAAATTGAAGAGTATTTTGATTCATGGACTAGTTTATTTCTTTAAATAGGAGGGAACTGGTGGTAACAGTGTTGATGAAACCTTCAAGTGTACATTATATCAATTACAAATATATAGGGTGAATTAAGGGTGATTGGGCCGGTTTTCTTAACTTCCGCCTTGTGTAAGGTTTCTTGCCATAAATTAAAAACATCAGCCCAACACATGATGCATTTCTGTAATCTGAAGATGTTATCTATCCATTTGAACATGAAACAGGTTTATATTATAATGAATGGATGCATGACTTACATTTTTATGCAAACTGAGCCAAACAGCCCAACATTTTTATGGTTGATTAAGGGTTTGCACAAGTGAAAATGTTGGAAAACACCAATTTAGAGCATAATCAATGGTTATCTATTGCAAGGTTAATTATTTTCTTAATTAGCTAAGTCTTTAAGCACTGACACAATCACCCAATGGAAAAAAAACCAAAACAAACTATATCTGAAAATAGAAACATGAAATGAACACATTTTTACTGATTGTGTTGCACTAGTGCATCATATTCATGGTTCCATCAACAGTTTGTGTAAAATAGTAGTTATGACAATTTGATGACCTTATTATTTACCTTACTTCATGCATTTCAGGGTCAACTTCCTGTTTGATGCCTGCCCCGCCCACCTACATAATGTCACACCAATGAGGGCGTCCGATTTTGATTATGTGGTCTCACAGATAGGACTCAGCAAAAAAGTTTTTATTTTCAACCATTAGGCAAGAAAATGATGTCCCCTACCCTTAATTCACCCTACACAGTGAGAAACAGAGTCATGTGTCTTGTGGGAAAGTGGGATTGTTTTGTTTTCATCCAAATGTGCATATTTGCATCAAACATTACTGTTTTAAATAAACCGTATCCGTTTGGCCTGGTCAGATTCTGTGAGAGCTGCCTCCGGGAGTGCTTGCGGCCTCAGAAACCTGTGTGTGCAGTCTGCAGGTCTGATCTGCACAAGTGGGATAAAGCAGAGCGTTTACAAGACTTGATGCAGAGATCGGTCGGGAGGTGCAAAGGCTGTACAAAAGATGTGAGTTAAACTGTGGATGTTACGTTTAGATGGCATTACTTACTCATTTATAAGTGCTTATTCTGGCCAAAAAACACCCACTTAATCAGGAGGAGATTGTTAAACATAGTAGGGACATGTTTATCTGAAATAGATTATACTGCAATAATTGACTAATAGATAATAGAAAAAAAGGCATTGAATGGTTTTACAGGAAGTATTAAAGAAATTAGTGACAACAAGTAGGGTTGCAATATTGACAAAAAAGATATCTTGGTGTGCATTTTTTAAATTAAATTAAAAATGTAGCTGGGTGTGTTTTTGTGCTAGTAGCTTGGAAGGTTTAGGCCTGTTGTGAGTCCTGAAGATTTCCATATTCTGTGCCGTGATTAATTCATAGTAGTGACAGAAACTAATGGACCTATTATGTCCCTTTTTACAAGATGTAATATGACTCTTATGTGTCCCCAAAATGTGACTTAATTTTAAGCTCAAAATACCCCACAGATCATTTATTTGACCATGCCCAAAATGCACGCTTTTGGGTAAAAGCAAAAGCAAGATGTTTTTGTGTGTGTGTGTCTTTAAATGCAAATGAGCTGCTGCTCCCCGCCCCCATTTCCAGAAGAGGGCGGAGCCTTCATGCCTCCGCTCAGATACTCCAAAACTGGTGAAACGGCATAGTGCAGTTCGCACAAAACCTGTTTTTGAATTCCACTGCGCTGCCTTTACATTATTTTCCACGCAAACATGCGCTAGAAGGAACAAACTGGCACACACTGGGAAACTGGGTCACATGGGCAAATGGGCACTGAACTTAAAACACAGTTAAACATCAAAAATCTGACATCATCATAGGGTAGTTGTGTAACATGACGCTGACACACATTTATGTTCAATCCCCATGTAAAAGTCAGTTGTGCATAACAGGTCCCCTTTAAGGGGTGATATTTGCCCCCCTAAATTGATTCATTTTAACTTCATAAGAGCATTCCTTTATTTTCTAAACGTATTAAAAATATATGTCAACTTTTATGTCAAACATTAAGCATTTTTTTTTAAACTTAAAAAAAAAAAAAAAAAGGTGCCGGTTTTTCGCATGCGTCGGTTCAGCCAATCAAAATACACTTACGTCACTGGTAGTTCCTATCCACCTTAAAGCGAGTACTTCCGTCATTAGTTAGGAACTATGAAAACACTCCGCCGGTGCGAGAGTGTCAGGAATACATTACAAATGAAACACAGCTCCCCTAGCAGAGCAGGAAAACAGAAGAGACGAAACCAGGAATGTGGCTCTGCTCCCCAAAGTCTTTTTCACACAATCCCCACCGCTATCAGCCAACACACCCGCCAGACACAGGGACCAGCTCTACCTCTCTCCCGGGCCCGCAAATGGCTTTTGCATCGGGTAGTTATAGGAACTAGCCACCAGGGCGGCTCCCCGAGAACTAAATGTTCCCCTAGGACAGTTTCGGTTGCATTCGCTCCGCCACACTGAAGTCTGAAGAGACGTAAGCTGGACGACAGCGGCAGCGTGGCATTCAACAACGGCAACGACTGGGGAATGGAGGACGCTGTGATCGCCGGAGCTGGGTGTGTGTCGGTGTGTCGTGGGCTTCGGGATGATGGAGATGGAATGTATATATATGTTATGCAATGGAAAGAGCAAAAAGAGAAATCTCCTATGTTAAACTGCGGGGTACACATCATCGAGGCTGAGAAAAGACCAACGCCGCAGACAAAAGGGCGACGGGACAATTCGCTTTCTGTGTGTTTATTGTGGAGTAAACTGTGTGCGTTTACACAGCTTTTTAAACCTATCAACGTACACTTCGCCTACATCACTGGTGGTTCCTGTTGTGCTGGGTTAGAGCCTTCTCTGAAGTATGAGCTCATTTAGTTCCCCCGAAAGATGTTCCTAGAACTAAATCCGTTCCCAGTTCCTGCGGTGCAAACACGGCAAAAAGTGTGTACTTCCGTTATTAGTTTTAGGAACTATGAAAAGTTTCTTCCGGTCGAAAGCCCCTAATGTTTCGGTGAGTGTAGCCCACAAACGACACAACACGAGGTATACATCTCACAGGCAGTGTTAGCTAGGACGACCCTGGCTATCTGGCCGAAACACTAGGGTCTGTTGAACAAAGAGGGCTGAGATTCTTAGGAGAGGGCCAGTTGAAATCAAAGGTAATTTCCCAGTTAAAGTCCCCTTGTACTCAATCATTTTATCACGTAAAAAAAAACAAAAACAAAAAACTTAAAACACGTCTTTGTTCGCCAAAATGACATTTACATGTTTCTTCATGCCTTAAAATAGCTTGAATGTAACTCGACACCCTTGCCTCATTTACTATGCGGGGTTCTATGAATATGCAAATGAGCCCCGCCTCCACTCACTCACTCAGCTCAGAGATCCACTGGTTGACGATCACACGTTGATCTGATTGGTTACAAGGTAGTTTGTGGCGTCAGAAACACCAGCGATTTCAAACCGTGTGTTTGAGATTGTCTTTGGTTCACTGCAGTTTTAAGGAGGAAATACTCAGCAATGCTGTCGACTTATGAATTTACACATCATTTGTCTTAAAGCGTATTAAAAACACCACATAGACACATAAACAACATTAAAAGCTGGATTTCCACCACATGGGGTCTTTAACAGTGATGGCTGTCGATTCACACACAGCATTGACTTCGCTAATATGAAAAACGGTGAAAAGATCATCAGACCCGGCTCTACAGGGGTGTTAGAGAAACTGTAATAATAGCATTTGCATTATTGGCAAAATAGACATTTGCAGCGTTGAGCAATGTAGCCAATCGCAGACATATCTGCTGATCTCTTCAATGACATGGAGGTTTATTCAGCTTCAGACGTTAGTCAGAATCCAGAGTCTTTTTTCATTGCTAAGTTGTACTAAGTTTTCCTAAATGATTAAGTTAACCCAGTACCTTTTAAACACGTTTTGATTCGTGTCAGTCTGATCGAAACCTCTGCACCCTGATTTGTGGAAATTGTGTACAGGCAATCTGATGTGAGCTTTCAATTTCCACAAGTGCTGTTCAGTTTAGTGTATCAGCCGGGCCGTGAACAGACTGTGGGTTGACCGTCAGCTTGCTGTCTGGATCCAAGATGTTACCAGTTAAAATGTGTTTCTACTACCCAGGTTCTTTTGTCTGACATGAGAAGCCACACAGGAATTTGCTCCAAATATCAAGACTATATCAAGGATGGTATGAAGTCCATTTCAAAGACCCAGCCTTCCATTGTCAGGTAATATAACATTCTTCAGCATTTGATATTAGGGGTGTAACGGTACATGTATTCGTATTGAACCGTTTCGGTTCGAGGCTTCCGGTTCGGTACGCATACAAACCGAACGATTCCTTGGACCATTTTTCCTGCAGACAAAATTCGCGCTGGCGCGATCACCACACCGTTGCGCAACATCGAATGGCAAGCGTAAAGAAAGCGGAACGAAACTGCGCTACTCATTATATTGTGCTTCACGGATCGTTTGACCAGCAGCATCTGTGCAGCGCGAGCCGATCTCGATCAAGCGACACTGTCACTACACAGCGCTGAGAGATCCAGTAAAGAAAACATTTGAATTCGCCACTGAAGTAATAACATCGCTGCGAGATCTACTGAGAAGCATTCACATTTCTCCGTTATTACCCGTAGATCTCTATTAGATCAAACAGCGCTGACGTGGACACCAGGAGAAATATTGTGCCGTGAATGAACTAAGTTAGTAATACTTTACGTCCACAGACCAGCAACATTCACCATGGATTTAATACAGTAACACTAACTGTAACCAGTTTAGCTGGAATAGTGAAATGCTTTCAAGTACTTCACACATCTTTTTCCAGCACTTTAAAACTCAAATATTATATAAATAAATATATGAAGAGTTCAGATGCAAAAGCCTCTAAGTGCCATTTGAAATTTTCTTCTAGAATGATCATTTTTATGAAGCTTGTATATTTAAGTTCAGTAATTTCACTCAAATGACAATTAATAGGTAATCTTCATTGCCATTTAAGTGAAATTACTGAACTTAAATATACAAGCTTGATAAAAATAAAGAAAATTTCAAATGGCTTTTGCATCTGAACTCTTCATATATTTAAATGTTATTTTTAATGTGATGATGACCAAAACATTATTTGTTCATCCTTCAAAGATGACACCCATTTATAAACCTGAAAGTTTCAAGATGTAGGAAAACTCAACTTATTTAAAAAATATTTTCTCTTTTAACAAATAGGAAATTTCTCTGGCATTTCTTACTTTTTGCTGTATCGAAAACGTACCGAACCGTGACTTTAAAACCGAGGTACGTACCGAACCGTGATTTTTGTGTACCGTTACACCCCTATTTGATACTGAATATGGGTGATTTTTCAATTAGGATTTAATATATATAAATATGATATATACATACACACACACACACATATATATATATATATATATATATATACATGCATATAGGATATGCCTTATATACATAGCATATTTACATCTACTGTCACCATGAACTCAAAATTGGCGATTATTTTTTTTTTTTTTTTATGGAATACTGCAGTTCTTATAAATAATTAATTTATACACATCTTTTTTTTTTTTACAACCTGTCACGCACATGAGATCACAGCAATAGCAAACCCTGATGTTATTATAGACTTCATAGAGAGCGAACATGTCCGACAGCATTTCTCACTGCTTAAAGGAATAGTTCACTTCAAAATGAAATTCCTGTCATCATTTACTCGCCCTCAAGTTGTTTCAAAGCGGTATGAGTTTCTTTCTTCTGCTGAACACAAAGGAAGATAATTTTAAGAATATGGGTAACCAAAACAGTTGTTGGACCCCATTGACCTTCATAGTATTTGTTTTCCTACTATGGAAGTCAATGTCATCAACTGTTTTATTACTAACATTTTTCAAATTATCTTCCTTTGTGTTCAGCAGAAGAAAGAAACTCGTACAGGTTTGAAACAACTTGAGGGCGGGTAAATGATGACAGCAATTTCATTTTGAAGTGAACTATTCCTTTAAGCAGTGAGAAATGCTGTCGGACATGTTCGCTCTCTATGCAGTCAGGCATAAATAAAATGTACGTAATGGATGCGGTTTAAAGACATGCTACAGGTCCTTTGGATTCACATTGGGAACATTTCTGTTGCTTCTACAGGGCGCCACATAATAATGCTTACCGCACATATAAGCTTCTTCTGTTCTGTGAGCTACTGGACCCAGAATGAGGCGTTCTGTGCCGCTAAAAGGAGAAACACAATCCACTGGAAGGATTGTTCTATGAAATTAAATATTAGTTCGAAAATTAGTTATTTAATTAATTTGTTGTCTTGTCAATCAGTTATTGTAACCTCAGTTTGTCAACTCCGTCAGATGAAGGTTTCTGTTCGTATTGAAAGAAATATTGTTATTATTTGTTCCATTTATTGTGTTAAAATATGATATTATGTCTGATTTACCAAGAACATTGGTTATATATGTTTAATATTAAAAAGAAGGGTAGATAATTAAGGAATTTAGGAACTGGATTGTTCATCAAAAAAATGAGAGAATGTATTTATTGACTTACCTTTACTGAACACCATTATGACATTGTTCAAGTCTTTACAGTGTTGTTGGATGAATCAAATTAAAACAGCATGCTTTTTAATGCGTCTGAAGGAGTTGACACAAATTAAGTTATGAAGTGAATAAATGTACATTTTCAGAAAAACCTGTTCCCTCACATGGTTCATGAGATATAGCCGACGTGAACATGCATGATGTGTGTGTTTGTGTGTGTGTATATACACTCACCTAAAGGATTAGGAACACCATACTAATACTGTGTTTGACCCCCTTTCGCCTTCAGAACTGTCTTAATTCTACGTGGCATTGATTCAACAAGGTGCTGAAAGCATTCTTTTGAAATGTTGGCCCATATTGATAGGATAGCATCTTGCAGTTGATGGAGATTTGTGGGATGCACATCCAGGGCACGAAGCTCCCGTTCCACCACATCCCAAAGATGCTCTATTGGGTCGAGATCTGGTGACTGTGGGGGCCATTTTAGTACAGTGAACTCATTGTCATGTTCAAGAAACCAATTTGAAATGATTTGAGCTTTGTGACATGGTGCATTATCCTGCTGGAAGTAGCCATCAGAGGATGGGTACATGGTGGCCATAAAGGGATGGACATGGTCAGAAACAATGCTCAGGTAGGCCGTGGCATTTAAACGATGCCCAATTGGCACTAAGGGGCCTAAAGTGTGCCAAGAAAACATCGCCCACACCATTACACCACCACCACCAGCCTGCACAGTGGTAACAAGGCATGATGGATCCATGTTCTCATTCTGTTTACGCCAAATTCTGACTCTACCATCTGAATGTCTCAACAGAAATCGAGACTCATCAGACCAGGCAACATTTTTCCAGTCTTCAACTGTCCAATTTTGGTCAGCTCTTGCAAATTGTAGCCTCTTTTTCCTATTTGTAGTGGAGATGAGTGGTACCCGGTGGGGTCTTCTGCTGTTGTAGCCCATCCGCCTCAAGGTTGTGCGTGTTGTGGCTTCACAAATGCTTTTCTGCATACCTCGGTTGTAACGAGTGGTTATTTCAGTCAAAGTTGCTCTTCTATCAGCTTGAATCAGTCGGCCCATTCTCCTCCGACCTCTAGCATCAACAAGGCATTTTCGCCCACAGGACTGCCGCATACTGGATGTTTTTCCCTTTTCACACCATTCTTTGTAAACCCTAGAAATGGTTGTGCGTGAAAATCCCAGTAACTGAGCAGATTGTGAAATACTCAGACCGGCCCGTCTGGCACCAACAACCATGCCACGCTCAAAATTGCTTAAATCACCTTTCTTTCCCATTCTGACATTCAGTTTGGAGTTCAGGAGATTGTCTTGACCAGGACCACACCCCTAAATGCATTGAAGCAACTGCCATGTGATTGGTTGATTAGATAATTGCATTAATGAGAAATTGAACAGGTGTTCCTAATAATCCTTTAGGTGAGTGTATAATATACAGTTTTGTGTCGGGTATGCATATTCAATCATTTTAAACCTGTTAAGTGTCACCCCCCTTTTTATTGAATAGACATGAAAATGCACATTTCGAACTTAAATGGTTTTAATTCAAGAATGCTTTGGAGTATAGACGTAAGATTGGTCTTGTTATAAAGAAGACATTTGGCCGATTTTTGTAGAAGTGAAATCAATTAAGAAAGTGAAACAGAAAAAAAAGTTATAGAAGTTTGAGTTTATGGAAATGTACAATGTAAAACAAAATAATTATTCATATTTTATTTAAAATATATATTTTCAAAACCTGGGCTACTCTAAAACTGCAGAAAAAGCAAAGCCAAAAAATCTGAACTGAATCAAGAGTTGTGTTTCAAATTTTAGGTTGATATCTCAAAAAATGAGCTTTCAGTAAGATTTTGTTTGGGCGCAGTACCGAACGCTTCCACTAGGGCACAACCAGACTCCATTACTGCCCATATAAGGGCGCCTCCATTTCCAAATGTGTTTTAAGTGATATGAACCATTATTTCCACAATTTTCATACAATTTATGAAGTAGACATCCGATTCAGAAGTAGTATGGGAAGTTTGGCAGATTTTGATATGAATTCAACCTCTAAGAAACACATACAAAGAACACGCATGTGCGTCATAGCTGGCTGCCACATCACAAATGGTGAATTTATAGTTTTTTTCTTTATATTTAAAACATTTTCAGACCTTTTTTTCTAAAATAATTGAATGGATGCTATCTTTTGATCTCTTGGCATGAAAACTACCAGGTTTCTACCATTTTTTTCATGATTTTTCATGTTCATTTCTATTTCAAAATAAAGGTCTGAACTCGCCTTAGGGGTATGAAAATATTCTTGTTGCAAATTGATAAAGTACGGCTCCTCTGTAATTTATTTTGAAAATCAGTCAACAAATATGGAAACTAGCGATTATAAGCTTTCAAATGATATATAGTTTGTCAATATTACTTAAGGTTTTTACTAAGATATTATTGTTTTAAAAATATAATGGCAAACGTCCCACCTGTGGGACGGTGGCAGTTATGTTTTATCATTCAAAGAATATATGTTTCTTATATAACAACTAATCATTTCTTTATTTTAAGTTAAAAAAAAAGTTTAAGTTTAAAAAAGAATCGAAGAATCTGAAAACTTCAACTTTCACAGCTTGAAAAAGATATTTAAATGAGTCAAAAGTGCCCCTGATTGAAGGATCACCCATTTGTTGTGAACCCTTCATGTGGACTGACACACACACTGCTTGGTTCCCTGTTCCTGTAGCTCAGTGCCGAACCGGCACACGTTCACCTGTCCCTTCTGTAAGCAGCAGAACCTGGACCAGGACGGGCTGGTGGAGCACTGCACCTCACGCCACGCACACGACCCGCGCCAAGTGGTGAGGCTTTAATCTGTTCATGTCTTTAATGTAGTTTAATGTCAATTAATGGCCAAAGGAACATAAGCATATTTTGTTGTAGTTACAGTCACATGAAAAAATAAGTACACCCCTATGGAAATTGTGGGCTTTTTTTTGACATATTTGTACAAGCAAGACTCTTTGAAACAGTGCATATTAATAAAGTTGATATACGTGAACAAACCCACAAGGAAAATTCACTTGTCTAATCATGTGTTTAACAAAAATATCAATAAATGTTATTTTCCTCTGTGGAAAAAGTACATCCTTGGGCTCTAGTTACAGCTATACTTATTTATCATATTCTGTGTACCGATTTCAAAAAGAGGATCAAATCTTTTGCTGGGGTGCAAATATGTCAAAAAGCCAACAATTTCCATGGGATGTACTTGTTTTCACATGGCCGTAAGTCAGAGATGGGCATAAATACATGGAAATGTATTTAAAATAAAAATACAAAATACCGTGTGGGGAAATGTAGTTGTAAATGGCGTGTCTGAACTAGTCGATGCATGAATCCTGGACCCTGATAAAGAGGTTGACTGGCAAAAAGTATTTTATGTATTTTGAAAATACAATATTTCTCATCTTAAATGCATTTAAAAACAAATCACATTAGATTTTTTTCCAAAGGCTTCAAAATACAAAATAGTATTTTGTATTTCAAATACATATTTTAAATGCATGTATCTGAAATACTGCCCATCCCTGCCGTGAGTTTAGGAGAATAAACAGCTGCTAGTGGCTGGTTGCATAAAATGCTTAGACTAGACTTACCGGTACAAATGTTTTTCTTCAAGAGTGGTCATAACCTCTTAAAGTCAGTTACGAAAGGAAGATTGGTCTAAATGTAATCTGAAAGGTAGGACTGGTCTAACTGCTAGTTGAACGGTCTAGTCTTAAATCTACTCTTTTCCTCCTCACACTTAAACAGATCATCTCCTCACAGGTCAAAATGACCCAGAGCTTAAACAATACACACATTTCCCTGTCCATAAATCTTATAAATCGTGTCTATAAACACCAGTCTATTTCTCATTTTTGTTGTTGATTTTTCTTTTATTTACCTCTATTATTTTAATTGAAAATAAGCTTCCTCTTTTTTTTAAACATTATTTCACAAAAACAACAACATAAATAGATTATTCCAGTCCAATTCTAGTGAAAACCTCATATTAGGTCATGCACTGAGTCATTAAAGTGTCATTGACCTACATGTTATGATTATGGCCACTAGAGGGCATACAGGGTCTCTATGGAGCTTGAGCAGATAAACGGGAATATGGGAACAACTCCAATTTGAAATAAAATTGTTCTTGAATTTGTTTTGTATGCATTCAGATATATATATATATATATATATTTAGACATTTAAATAACTAATCTTTTATAAAAAATATTTTAAAAATCATAATTTGTGTGTGTGTGTGGATTTGTATGAAAAAAAGTAAAGTAAAACAATGAAATAAAGAGGTTGAGGATTAAGGACTATTTTTTGTATACCCACAAAAACTTGAATCTAGTGTGTGTTTGTGTTTCCTATTTCAAGTGTGGTACCATTCAGATGAACACCTGATTTTTTGTACTTATTTTTTAAATAAACCCTTTCCGATCACAATGACCCAGAGAGAGGAGTAGGGTTCACGAAGGGGATATTTGGATACTTTACTGCAACCAGTTTTATTTATTGTAAATTGCATGTATGTACTGAACAATTTAACCAGCAAGAAGTCACCATCTCCGAGAATTAGGGGGAGATTAAGTTCTTTATACAGTATATCAGTTTTGATAGGGTTCTCTCTCCATTGCGTGAGCCTTTACCTTTAAATAGAGAAGACTCTGAGAAGTGGCAAAGAGTATGTTCATCTACATGTATATTGACCATCATTATTAAATCAGGATGTACTGTTGGAGTCTCTGGAAGTGAGTGTTGGTCTCTAACCCCGTGTCCCTCCTGCAGGTGTGCCCGATCTGTGCCTCCATGCCCTGGGGCGACCCCAATTACAGGAGCGCAGACTTCTTTCAGCACCTCAGGATAAGACACGCTTTTTCTTACGACACGTTTGTGGTAAGTGGCTTATAACAGTTCAATGCCCTGCTTTTCCACGGTTAAAAGAAATGCGTCACACTGTCGATACACTAAATCATCCAGCTATCAACAGATCAATTTTCAGTGATTTAACTTGCATTCTCTTAGTAAATTAAGATTTTACTAACCTTGTATATTACCTTTGGTATACATAGTTAGTCAAATTGAAGTTAAGCTGGGCGTTAGCCTTTCAGTTTCGCAGAGCTTTGTGTTAAACCATTTATGTTGTCAGGTATCGGGTAGTTGTGCAAACTTATGAAACTGTAAAGAGTTACCTCTGTGCACCAAAACAAGTCGAGTATACTTATTATTAAAACTGGAGGAACTTAAAGGTAAAGTTCAGCCAAAAATGTACTCTCAAGTTGTTTCTTTGTTCTGTTGAAATAAAAAAAATACATATTTTGGACGATCATCAGTTGGACCCCATTGACTTCCATAGCATGGGAGAAAATACTGTGAAAGTCAATGGGGACCAGAATCTGTTTGCTTACCAAAATATCTTACACATATAATAACACATATTTCCACGTCCCTATAAATAACCACGCATTGACCAAAAAACATGTTGCTTATCCTTTATAAAATCTATTAAATGAAAGATCATACTTTTCTAACCTAAAGAATGAAAGCAATCATGGTAGTAATGATGATCGGGGGACATTATTCTGCTCTGCTCTCAAACTTATGAGTTTTTGCTGTTTAAAATTTTAAGTTGCTTTGACTAAATTGCCTACAAATGGACTATTTAATGTGCATGCAATATCCAAGACTAAATAGTTCAGTCAACCTCTAAGTGAATGAAATTGCTGGCGGCCTGTGTTCTGAGTTGAGACGGCTTGTAACCGATCTTAAGTGGAGATGTTTCTCTTTTCATCAGGATTATGCTACAGATGAGCAAGCCATGATCCAGGAGGCTCTACAGCGCTCCATGGTGGAGAACTGACGTGGACGTGACGCAACCAAAAACTACTGATTGTGCTTAAAAAAGAATCAACAAACTACAAGGAGATTCAGGGCTATTCGGATATATTGTTATACACACACAAATTTTGGTGATGCCAAAGTTTCCATTGGTGTAATATTGAGGATTTGCTTATTCAAACTTATAATAATAAGCATATGGATCACATGCATTCATATACAAGACATTACGATATACATTCATAGCTGTCAAAATATATTCTGCCAATCTATAATTTTTTCAGCTTTTATAACAGATTTTTGTTTATGTAGTAAAGTTTGTATAGCAGATTGTCAGATTTTGTGGCACTAGAACAGAATGGCCCGTGTAATTATTATTATTTTTTTCTTTCCTTTTATGGGTTATTTTGAAACCTCAAAATTGAGGTGAGCTCATAGGGTAGAAATACTGCTATTGAATCAGATCAGTCTTTTGATCCCGAGATTGTGATTTTTGGTTTATTTAGTTGTTTTAAGAAGCAGTTTAACACTTGTGGGAGGTGTGTTTCACGGATTAGTCTTGAGATATGTGTTTGTTCAAACCAATAGGGGGCAGTACTGTATCATTAATCCACTGTAGACGTACATGGCTCACTCTGACTTATTAAAGGTTTGTACTGATCTGCCCTTAAAGGGATAGTTCACCCAAAATGTTTAAATTCTGCAGTTATTCACCCTCATGTGAATACCCAAGTCCTGAACGTGCTGACTTTCATTTGTGTGGACAAAAACAGTTCTTCAAACCGGGGAGAAAGTGTCATTCAGGTTTGGAGCAATATGAGGATGTGTAAATGATGACAGAATATTCATTTTTGAATGACATTTTTAAGCTCAAAGTTCATAAATGTAACCATGTAGAGGCTGTTTGCACTCTTCCTACTTTTTTTTCGTGTTTATATAGCAGTCATACTGTAGATAGCAGTTTTATAATATGTTCTGTAATATTTAGTCTGTTTAAAATGGCAGTAGTTTGAAATCCTACAATATATTGAACAAAATTATAAAATTGCGCCCTATAAAGTGGAACTTGTGAAACTATAAAGTGTTGCATGTTGTTCGATGCAGATACGTCATATCCTCCGCTTGCTTTCTTCATGTGTTATTATTATTAGTGCATAATTGTACTGATTCATTAACTTGTAAGTTACTTGGGTGAATTGCTTGTGTATAGTTAATAAACTTTTTTTCTTTTTCTTTTTTCAAAAGCCTTTAAATGTTTCAAATGAAGCTTCTTTTCTCAATCCTTGATTGTGTTATTGGAAGCATGTTGAAAAAACAGCCTTTATTACTTCACCCCTTCACATATTGCTTTTCCCCTTCTGTTTAATGCATGTGCATTCAATCTGGTTACAGTGTGAATCTCTCCCCCCCGTCCGCTGTAACTCCATTACTGTTGCTCATTTTCTGTCCCACAGCGACTGTCAGCTCTCATGTCTGAAGGTGCTAAATCCTGATAAATTAAAGCTCTTTAATTATTTAAACACTGGACCCTGAAATCAGCGTGAGTGATTTATACCGGTGTGTTAGACATGCTGGGCCAGAAACAACACCCACCTCTCTGATGGATGGCTAAATGGAGGGGGGAGAAAACACACGCTATAACAGTAACGGGCCCTTTCCCTGAAACCTGTCACAAAAACCTGCTCATCATTCAAGTCTCCAAAAAGGATCCCACAGCCTGAGGATATAAAAGGAAAATCCTAAATGCAGTTTGATAGAAGAAGAGGGAACCATTTTCAGTTCCTCGTCCACTTGTTTAGTCTGACGTCACAGTTTCTGGGAGTGAACTCTCATACTAGCATACACATGCTGTAATACTCATGAAACATCATGATCCTAACTTTACTGAAATCTCCACTGGACAGACAGTGATTCATGTTTCAGTCCGGGACGCTGAGCCCAGAGACTGCAGTGTACACCGTGAGTTTGCTATAAATGAGTATAGTGCTCATAAACGGCTGTTGACGTATCATTCTCACTTGAATCAGAGAGAAACGGACCTGGTTCCAGGTATCGACGACAGTATTTGATGCGTCGAGTGGGCGACCTCTTATGGTCTTAAACATTTTGTTCACACTTGGTATGTTTGGGTGGATTAAAACGAACCCTGGTGCGATGGCTCTGTTAGTGCGGGTCATTTGAATAAGTGTGAACGCTGCCGTCTGAACCCTGGTGCCACCAAACAAGAGGACCCGAGACGCTGAAAAGATGGGACTCGATCCACTTCCAAATGAACTCTGGTGCGGTTCAACTCAAATATGAACTCAACACACACCAAAAACAGGACTTGATGTCACAAGATGCGACCCTGAAGAGAACCGAATGCTCCAGCATTTGTTTTTTCTCATCATAGTCGTGATGTTGCCCATCACAGTTCAGTAGAGGATCAGAACCGGGTCTCCTCACAGCAGATCTTCATTTGTGTGACGGAGGGATTCCTGACGCTGTTTTACACATTATATAAGCTCTTCATGATTCTCAGCTGCTCAAAACACCATCATATGTACAGTAGCTACACACATACAACGAGCGCTCTTAGCCCAGAACACAGCATTGGTTTGGATGTTCGGTAAGCTCTGTCGTGAAATATATGTAATATAAGCCGACCAATCAGGTTGTGAACATACAGTATCCCTATGTCTTAAGGTTCGGTATCTTTAGGTTCAGTGTTAAAATACCAATGTGAACGCTAAGCGGACCAGGACTAAATGTTTTTTGATCCAGACCAAGTGAACCAAACCACAAGTGTGAACACACCCTTAGTCCCGGTTGCTTAGCGTTCACACTGTCATTTTTAACACCTAACCCAAATATACAGCGAACCGCACCAGAGTTCATTTGGAAGAGTCTCATCTTTTCAGCGTCTCGGTCCTCTTGTTTGGTGGCACCAGGGTTCAGACGGCAGCGTTCACACTTATTCAAATGACCCGCACTAACAGAGCAATCGCACCAGGGTTCGTTTTAATCCAACCAAACATGTCAAGTGTAAACAAACCCTATGAAGAACTCTTTAGCTACATTATGTAGCTGTCGGGATGGATTTTGCTGGAAATTGCACACATGCATGATTCCCGTGTCACGTCATACCTGTACACAGACTTGCTCCGGCATGAAGCTGTTTGAAGCTTGTCACAACGAATGAGCAAAAATTACATAAAGGTTATTTATTCATCCATCCACTCCAAGATGTCCAGCATTCATGAAAACACCTGTGCCTCGAAGCATGTTCATCCCTGCAGAGGAGCAGAGCCCAAGAATACGTTGAAATGTGTTGATATTAAGCACAGCCTACTAATACTTTTAATGAGAGTTAGTGTATATGTAGTTGCAAAGTTACTTACAGTTAGTAGAGTGTCTAAAGTGGACCATCGAAATAAAGTGTTACCAAAACATTAGCGCCTAAATAATGAACACTGTCAGATGCAGTGTTAATTTACTACACTTGCAGAAGAACATTGTTTTTGTTGAACTTCGGCCAAAGTTTAGTATGATACCATTGGAGAACACTTTCAAATTATGTAGGATAGGATATGAAACCAGGAGATCCTTGAAAGATCTATTTGATAAACTAAAAAAACAAATCAAGAACAAGTGTTTCTTGAGATTAAACCTACGATGTGTAGAACCGTATTTTTAAGAGGAGCTCTCGCTATGCCTCTATATTGCTTTTTAAACCCATTTATTTGGGGTTTGTGTAGATAAATTGTTAATTGCACTTCTTTGTGAGTGACAGGGGAATTTATGATGAAACTCTTCCCGGCAATCAGTGGCGAACGGCAAGTTTATTTACACCGTCCACAGGGACAGAAGATGCTTCCACAACGTGTGTGTTGTCTTTCCTTCCCACACACTGTTTCAGTAATTAGTTTCCAGGTCTCCATCAGGCCCCTGCCTCTACACAGTCAGTTCTCCAACCTGCTACATGCTTTTCTTTTTTAAAGATTACTTCTTTCTTCTTTTGTATTATTATTATTTTGCTCCTGGCAGCTGTAGAAGTTCTCCAAGTTTGATCTAACAAGTTATAGGGCTTCCAGGCAGGAAGGAAATGGTCCTGCAAAACACTGTCTCTCGCTCTCACCGTCTCCTCGTCTCCCTCCCTTTTTGGTGGCAGTAGTTTTAAGGGAAGATAGAGGTAGGAAAAAAAGAGAAGAAAGTGAACATACTAAATGAAAATTTCATAAAGTTGAGCATGTGGTTTCTTTGATGAGGGAATGTGAAACGGTGTTAAGTCTCAAGGCTGTGTGAAAGCGGTTATTAGCGCCACATGTTCCTCCTGCAGGCTTGTGCCGTGAGAGAGACGAGGGTTTCGCTTTCCTCAGATGTGTCTCGTGCCTCCTTTTCTCATGTTCCCTTCTTCAGTCGCCCGTGTAGTCTCCGAACTCATCACCTGTTAGAAGTGAACTTGACAAGCGCTCGTCATCACCATCATCTCTGGCAGTGAAGTTGTTCTCCAATTGACTGAACAGACATTTTGACTAGGCCCACATACAAGTGATCTGCAATTTCTGCAGAATTTGAATGGCCGTCTTTCACAAATTCATACACTTATATTCTTCCTTTTATTTTTTTGCTTATATTACACTGATTGCGTAGCCTGGTTAAAACCAGACCATTCTCAGTTGTAACTGAGTTATGGTCTGGCAAAGCGTCATAGACAAATCAGTTCCAGAGGGGCGTCACCAACGGACGTCGCGGATAGACCTAAACCCAATCAGAGCGATGAAGGAGATGACGTATGCAGAGCGGCGGAGAAACATCTCCGAGTGTTGTTCTTTGCTCGGTTTTTAACAAAAAGGAAACGTTCAAATTGCTTAAAGGAGAACTCTGGTGCTAAATGAACCTTTGGTCTAATAAAACATTGGTACCTAGTCAACCGTTCTCTGAGATTTGTTTTCATGATAATCGAATGTAAAGAGTTGTATCTCTAAAAACTGTTTAGCGTATAACGCTAGTAATGGGGGCATTTAATAAGTAAAAAGAAATCGCTAGTTTATACCACTAACAAGGCTCAAAATAGCCCCACACGAACACAGTAACATAATGAGGGTCCCTACATGCAAAACGAAGCATTGAGAACTTTGTAAGTGTACAGACTGTTTAATAAGAAGATAAAGATGAAGACAGTCCACTTCGTGTATACAGAC